AGTATAGTATTGGAAGTCCTAGCCAGAGCAATTAGGCAAGAAAAGAAAAAAAGGTGTGGGGCATACAAATTGGAAAAGAAGTAAAATTATCAGTACATGCAGATGACATGACGGCATACACAGAAAACCCTAAAGACTCCACAAAAAAACTGTTAGAAATAATATACGAATTAAGTAAAGTTGCAGCATATAAAATCAATATACAAAAAATGTTTTTATATACTAATAACAAACTATTAAAAATAGAAGTTGAGAAAATAATCCCATTTACAGTTACGCCAAAAAGAATAAAACACCTAGGAATAAATTTAACCAAGGAGGTGAAAGACCTGTACACTGAAAACTATAAGACACTGATGAAAGAAATTGAAGAGGACATAATGGAAAGATATTCCATGCTCATGGTTTAGAGGAATTAATATTGTTAAAAGGTCCATACTACCCAAAGCAATCTTTAGGTTCAGTACAATCCCTATAAAAACTCCAATGGTGTTTTCCACAGAAATAGAACAATCCTAAGGTTTTTATTGAATTACAAAAGACCCCAAATAGCCAAAGCAATCCTGAGAAAAAAAGAGCAAAGCTGAAGGCATCATGCTCCCTGATTTCAAACTAAATTATAAACCTATAGTGATCAAAACAGTATGGTATTCACATAAAAAACAGACACATAGATCAATGAAACAGAGTAGAGAGCCCAGAAATAACCCCACGCCTATGTTGTCAGTAATTATTGACAAAAGAGTCAAGAATATATAATGGGGGAAGGACAGTCTTTTTGGTGTTGGGAAAACTGGACAGTCACATGCAAAAGAATGAAACTGGACCACTACCTTATACTCCATACACAAAAATTAACTCAAAATGGATTAAAGACTTCATTGTAAGACCTGAAACCATAAAACTCCTAGAAGGAAACATAGGGGTAAGCTCCACGACACTGGTCTTGGCAAGGACTTTGAATTTGACACCAAAAACAAAGGCAACAAAAGCAAAAACAAACAAGTGGGACTTCATCAAACTGAAATGTTTCTGCACAGCAAAGGAAACAATAAACAAAATGAAAAGGCACCCTACCAAAAGGGAAAAAATATTTGCAAATCATATATCTGATAAGGGGTTAGTATCTAAAATATATTAAGAACTCATACAACTTAACAGCAAAAAAACAAACATCCAATTAAAAAAGTGGGTAGAGGATCTGAAGAAACATTTTTCCAAAGAAGACATACAGAGAGCCAAGAGGTACATGAAAAGGTACTCAACATCACTAATCACCAGGGAAATGCAAATCAGAACCATAATGAAATCTCACCTCACACCTGTTAGAATGGCCATTATCAAAAAGACAAGATATAACCAGTGCTGGAGAGGATTTGAGAAAAGGGCACTCTGTGCGCCACTGTTGGGAATGTAAATTGGTGCAGCCACTATGGAAAACAGTATGGTGGTTCTTCCAAAAATTGAAAATAGAACGTCAATATGATCCACCGATTCCACTTCTGGGTATTTATCCAAAGGAAACAAAAACACTAACTTTAAAAAATATATGCACCCCATGTTGCACTGCAACATTATTTACGATGGCCAAGACATGAAAGCAACCTAAGTGTCCATCAATGAATGAACAACAACAAAATGATACACACACAAAATGGAATATTATTCAACCATTGGAAAAAAAACAAATCTTGCCATTTGCAACAACATGGACCTTGAGGGCATTAGGCTAAGTGAAATAAATGAGAGAGAAAAAGACAAATACAGTATGATCTAACTTATATGTGGAATCTAAAAAAAAAAATCCAAACTCATATACAAGAGTTTGGTGGTTGCCAGAGGCAAGGGAAGAGGGGCTGGGGGTGTGTGGAAGAGGTAGGTGAAATGGGTGAAGGTGGACAAACTTCCAGTTATAAAATAAATACATCCTGAGGATATAATGTACAGCACGGTGACTATAATTAATAATACTGTATTGTATATGTGAAAGTAGCTGAGAGAAGAAATCTTAAAAGTTCTCATCACCAGAAAAAAATTGTAACTATGTGTGGAGATTGATATCAACTAGCCTTATTGTGGTGATCATTTCACAATATATACAAATACAAATACTGAATCATCACGTTGTACACCTGAAACTAATACATGTCAATTATCTCTCAATTTAAAAATAAATAAAATAAAATGGCCCTCAATGAACCCTGCTTTCTACTATTCACTCCCTTGTGCAATCCCCTCCCCTTAAATGTAGACTGAACTTACTGACTCCCTTGTAAGAAATAGAATATGCAGAAGTGAAAAGATGTTACTTCTAAGATTAGGTTATAAAAAGACTGTGGCTTCCATCTTTGATACTCACTCTCACGTGTTCCTTCTGACTGCATGCCTGCCATGGGGGAATCTAGCTACTGTGTCTTGAGGTAGCCCTGAGAAGAAGCCCTCCTGGTGAGTAACAGAGGCCTGCCTACAGGCACAGGATGAGCTTGGAAGCAGAATTTTCCCTTTACCCTCAAGTTGAGCCTTGGCAGGAGCCCTTAGCAACTGAACAGTCTGATTCAACCTTATGAGAGATCTTCAGCTAGAGGCACCCAGATAAACCTCATGTGGATTCCTAATCAACAGAAACCATGAGATAATAAACATTATGCTTCGTGATAATTTGTTATCAATAATAGATAACTAATAAACTGGTACTTGCCTAACTTTTCAGCCTTGGTTTATTTCAGTTTACTCTTCCACTCCAGGCTTCAGTCATACTTTCAGTTCCTCAAAAATGCCACCTTTTCTTACCTCAAAGCCTCATGCTACTCTCTCTACAGGCATATTCTTTTGTCCTCATCTTCCCTTTATCAAGTCTTTATATCACATCTCTAACCGCTTACACACTTTCCCTTTTCCCTTTAAGATCAGATTAGGTGTAATTTTGCTTCCCTTTTCCTAACACTTAGCATTCATTACATTTACTCAATAACTACCTTTCCTTCTGTCAGATCAGTGAGAAAAGGGTTGTTTCTCACGTTCAATATACCCCCAGAGCTTAGAATAGTCTTGCTCATAGTAAGCACTCAGTACAAATTCACTGAAAAATAAACGTTCAGAGATGAGTGTTTTGTAGTGTAGATTACAAACTGAAAAAGACAGAAAAATGAAGTCTGAGCTACTCAAAAGTAGCCCCCAATCTCTGCAAACCCCTGGGGAATAAATACCTCAAACTCAACTTATTGACATCAAGCAGGGAGGAAGGTCTAGGAAAAAGAAAAACAGAAATGATAAGGCTATGAAAACACATGAAAAATTGGAAATCTGGTAATAATAAATAGTTCCACCTCCCTAAAAATTCAAAATACTTAGAGGGAGGAAAGAATTTTCATTATTGCCTTTGGCTTAGAGCAGAGTTTTATTACCTACAAGTCTCTCTAGTATCTCGTTACTGTGATTTTTTTCTGTCCTTTTCTATCTTGCTTCTCTAGTTTTCAGTTTTTTAGCACAATGGCCATATGCAGCTCATGTGCTCTGTAGATACTCGGAGTATCTGGAGATACATCTTTCTAGCTGTGTGACTTGGATACATTATTTAAGCTTATTTCAGTTTCCTCTTCTAAAAAAATGGATAAAATAACAGTTCTTATTTCATAGAGTGCATGGAAACATTTCAGTACACAATTAAACCAGGTAATGCTTAACACAATGCCTGGTTATAGTAAGCCTTCAATAAATGTTATTATTATCTAATAATAGTGGATCATTCCACTAAAATGAAATTTTTAACTCACCAAAGCTCTAATTTGGAAACTTGAGGCTAGTTTCATACTTAGTACTCCTCCCATTCCTCTGCTCATATCATCTAACATCAACCCATCTGGCTATAAGCTCTTCCAAGGAAAGGGATCAAGCCTTACTGTCTTTCAACCCTCCCCCACCCCACAACTCTGAACACATAGCAGGCAGTCAAAAATGTATATTTAAAATAATTTAAAATAATGAAGCACCTAGTTCAAATGATATATATCCAATGCACACCCTCACCCTTCAATCCCCTTTCAGAGATAAACCTAGGCCAATCAGTCTAACAGAAATGTGAAAATTGGGATGACAAGCTAACATCCCAACATCCTTCCTTAACGTTATGCAGATGAAACAAGAAACTCAAAAATAATTTTTAAACCTAAATAGTGCATAAATCTCTGGTTCTGAGCCGTAGGAATTTTCAAGATCACACCGCAAACTTCCCAAAGTCCTGTAGACTGCCAGCCTCAGGTGCTATTACCGTATCTGGCCGTCACCGAAAGTTAAAATTATCTCACAGAGGTCAAGGTCTTTTTCCCCCCTACAGTTCTCCTTGCGTTTACACAGGAAAGACAGGCATAAGGCAGATTCTCCGGAGTGATGGGAGGGGCTGGGGGGAACTCACTCTTCCTCCGACCCCAGTTTTCAGAGAGGAACTGGGCTTGCGAAAGGGAGAGGACCTGTCCGTCGCGGTCACCGGGAGAGCTCCAGGCACACCAGGCCCCGAACTCCTTCCTCAGTTCACCACATACCCTAAGGTGACACGGGGCCACCGAGCCTGAAGAAGGAAGGGGCCGCCGGAGCCCAGTCGGTAGGGGAGGAAAGCGGGAGCCAGGACGGCGAGGGTACCTCAGCGCCGCGGAGTCGCCAAAGAACGCACTGCTCCCTGCTGCCAGCAGCACCCGTCGGGAGCCGAGGTCCCGGGGCAGCGCTACGTCCCAAAGGAAGGGAGCGCCAGAGTCGCAAGGCTAGCGCCATGATCCGCAGCTCGCAGGCCTGACCCCTCACCCCTTTGGCTTCTACGAAGCGGGGCGGAGCGAAAGGCTCCCCAGTCTCTCCACAGAGAGCAGCGTCGGCTGGCTTCCGGCCCCGCTCCTCTTCCTCTCCGCAGCTTCCGGTCCACGGTTTCTGGGGGCGGGAAATTCCTCGATTGGGCGGGACTTAGTGGCCTTGCTGCGCCTGCGCCGAGTGGACTGGGGCAGGGAAATAGCGCCCTTCGGGCTGCTGGCTTTTAGCCGTCCTGGGGGTCTGTTTTGGCTTTGGCTAAAGGATAGATCACCAGAACAGACTTGAAAGCTCTGAAACAGACCCAAGGATTTCCGTATGCAAGTAAATAATGATTTGTTATCTATAGTTCTCTGCTGCCTTCTAAGGTGGGGAGAATCCTGGTACTGGAGGGTCCTTTTAGGAAATAAACGCTTGTTAGAATTAAACTGTTCTACATAAAGAAGGGAATGGAAGAGATTAAGAGACTGGAGGGGGAGTTTCTCAGGGAGAAGGGAGAAGCCAGAGACGGGCAAAGAATGACCAGCCCACAGTGATCCAACAAGAAAGACTAGGGAGAGGAGGCCTCTTGACAGAAGGTTGATGGCGTTGTATGCTTTGGGATGTGTCGTATAAAACCCCTGGCTTCCCCTCAGAATATTCAGTAAGGTCGGTATTGCTTTTTCACTGGACTGGAATTCTTTTGGAGAGGATGAAGAGGTTTTGAATCCTACTTCAGATTTGATGTGGGAGAAAACACAAGCTGCAAACCTACTATATGGATTATATGAAATTTTTTTATGGGCAATAAGGGAAGATAGTTATAGTTTTTTAAAAAATAGGTTACATTTATGTAGTACTTTCAATACTATGTAGTGAATTAACAAGCACTTTTATTTCATTTGATCTTCCCAACGACCTTGTGAAGTAAGTGGTATCCCAAGTTAATAAACAAGTGAACTATAGCTCAAAGAGATTTATTAACCAAGGTTACCTAGCTGGTAGGTATTGGTAGAAGACTAGAATCCATGTCTTCTAACAATTAGTCCAATGCTTCTTCTATTGATTGCTCCTTCCACCACTTCCTGTTAAATCAACCATATTTCTTTAGGATTACATCAGTGATATCCCTATTTTCTTTGTTTTTAACATATATTTTAAAAGATATATAGATCCTCTTCCAAACTTTCTTTTTTTACATATTTCTACTGGTAGTTTTCTCAGTATTGCTAAATAATATGTTTATACCACTGAATGCCATCATAATCCTGAGACTGAGTTTCTAATATGTCAGCCAGAGTAAAATTTTAATTAAAATTTTCATTTTGAAAAAAAATTTAGATCCTTAGGAAAGTTGTAGGAAATCCCATATATTCTTCACCTAGATTCATCCATTGTTAACATATTGCCACATTTTCTTTTTCTTTACATATAATATGCATATTCTATTCCTATTATCATTTTCCGTTGTTGAACCTTTTTAGAATAGATTACAGATATCATGACTCTTCCTGCCCAGAAACAAAGATGTTCTCTTATTTATTCCCAGTACAGTTACCAAATTCAGGAAATTGAAATTGATAGAATACTATTATTTAATATACAAGTTTTGCTTATTGTCCCAATGCTGTCCTTTATAACAACCATTTTTTCCCCAACTCATTTCAAATCCTGATTATGTGTTGCATTTAATTGTCCTGTTTCTTTAGTCTCTTTAAGTCTGTAGTATTTCTCTCTTGGCTCCAGGCACAGTATCTTTTCTTGCCTCCCATGAGCCTCAGACTTCCCTATGTGATATTGTTTCTTTCAGGATTCCTTCCCATTTCACTACCCTAGCACTCTCCCCCTTCCCCCTACCCCACTCCACTATTCCTGACCTAGCTGATTCCTATTCACCTTTCAGCTCTCAGTCCAAACGTTACTTCCTCAGAGAAATTTTTCTTGATTCCCCTTAATATATTTTCATTTTCTTTATAGCTCTAAGCACATTTTATAATTTCATTTTTATATTTGTGATTATTTGTCAATCGAGTATATTTTAGAGGTAGAGTTGATAAGAATTAGTAATGTGTGCCTTCACTGTACTATAAACTCAATGACATGTCTGCTTTTGCCTATAACAGGGCCTGGCACAATTTCTTCATTCACTAATGAAATATATTTTGCTTATCTATAATATGCCTGGTATTCTTCTAGATGTGAATTCCTAGTGGAGCATATATTCCAGTTGGGGAAAGATAGTAAGCAAGGTAAATGATATAATAAATCATAAAAGATATAATAAATGATGATAAATGCTGAAAAAGGAAGATAAAGCAGAAAGGGGTATAGAGTGTATTTCTGCGTAGGCATTACAGTTTTAAATAGGGTGGTGGCCACAGAAGAACTCACTGAGGGGGAAGAGGGAATGAGCCATGAAAATATCTGGGGGCAGAGCATATCATGCCAAGTGAAATGAAAGTGCAAAGGCATAAACTGGGAAGGCAAGTGGCATTTTCTCTGAACATAAATCCACTCTAGATTGAGTGAGCAAGAAGGAGACTCTTAAGGTCTTGAATGACCTTAAGAGACAAGGTCAGAGAGGAGATGGGGACCAAGTAATGTAGGACCTTGTAGGCAATTGTAAGGACTTTGGCTTTCGTTCTTTGTATGATCATGTGGGACACAGTCTAATTTACATTTTAATTAGATCCTTATGACTGTTTTGAAAATAGACTGAAGGGGAGCAGGAAGGGAAGCAGTTACTGGGTATTACAGAAATGTAGAAAGAAATAGAGGTGACTCAGGCTAGGCTGGAAAATAGGAGTAGTCAGAATCCAGGTGTATTTTGAAGGTAGAGTTGACAGGATTAGCCAACACAGTGGACCAGTTAGGGTGGGGTATGAGAGAGGCAAAGATGTCTCCAAGTGTTTTGGCCCAAACAACTGGAAGAAGCTTTGCCATTACTTGAGATAAAGAGGACTGTGGGAGATACGGATTTGGGAAGGAAGATCAGGACGGTTTACTTGTACATTGAAATTTGAAATGATTATTAGGCATCTGTGGTAGCCAGCCTTCAAGATGGCCCCCAGTGGTTCTTACCTCCTGGATTTACTCCTTTGTGGGATTCCCTCTGACGTTAGATATAGGCTTGTCTATTTGACCAATAGAATACTGCAAATGTGATGGTATATGACTTCTGAGGCTAAATCATAAAACTCACGAAGCTTCTCCCTTGATCTCTCAGATTGTTTGCCTTGGGGGAAGCCAGAGGCCATGCCATTAGGGTACTCAAGCAGCTCTAGTAAGAGGTACACGTTGGAGAGGGAACCGAGGTCTCCCACCAACAAAGAGCACTACTGTTAACGTGCGAGTAAGCCACCTTGGAAGTAGATCCTCCAGCCCCATAAGATGACTGCAACTCTGCATAATACCTGATTGCAACTCTTATGAGAGATGATAAGCCAGAACCCAGCTAAGCCTCTCTGAAATTCCTGAAACAAAGAGGCTATATATAATAAATGGCTACTTAGTTGTAAGTCCCTAAGTTTGGTATAATCTGTTATGGAACAGTAGATAACTAATACAACTCACAAGTAGGGAGTTGGAATCTAGAGTTTCAGGATTTGGAAATTTCGGAGCCTTTAGAATATAGATGGATTTCAAAGCTGTAAGGCTAGATGAGGTAACTAAAGGTGTGGATGAAGACAGAAAAAAGAAAAGTCAAGAACTAAACCCTGGGGTACTCCAGTGTAAGAACTGGGAATATGAGGATCAAAAAGCACAGGAGATAAAAAGGAACAACCATCGAGGTAGAAGAACGCCAAGAGACTATTTTGTGAATATCTCATTCAGTTTAGCATCCCTTTAAATCTCCATCAGGTGTTAAGTCCCATGCCTATTTGTTCTTTGTTTCTAGAACCTTGTTATACCTGATACATAGTATGCATTCAGTATGTGTTGACTAAATGGGCGAATGAATAAGTAAAAAAGTAGAATGGAATTTAGACTATAGTTTGAGGAAAATGAATAAGTACATTGAATAGCTATGGCACTGTCTATTTAATTGAGAGATTGCTTATTGGGTACTAAAAGTACAAAACCATTTCATTGTCTCTACTCCCTATTTTAGTGGAGACAAAGGTGATGAAAATTGGGTATTGATACTATGTATTCTGGAAATTTTGAAACTTGTAACTAAATTAGTGGTACCTGAGGACCTTCGCTTTAATGTAAAAACAGAATCAAAAATAAAACAAAAAGGTTATTTTTACCAACCTTTAGTAAAAACAAAATAAAACACTTCTCTTTCCTCCTTACTATGTTCCAACCACAAAGGCCTTGTTTCTGTTCCTGCAGTTTGCTAAGTCTATTCCTGCCTTTGTCCCTGCTATCATTCCTCTGCCTTCAGATCTTTGCAGGACTGGGTCTTTCTTATTTTTCAGTTCTCACATAAAATATCACCACCTTTTTTTTTTTTTTTTTTTTTTTTTTTGCGGTACGCGGGCCTCTCCCGTTGCGGAGCACAGACTCCGGACGCGCAGGCTCAGCGGCCATGGCTCACGGGCCCAGCCGTTCCGCGGCATGTGGGATCTTCCTGGACCGGGGCACGAACCCGTGTCCCCTGCATCGGCAGGCGGACTCTCAACCACTGTGCCACTAGGGAAGCCTAAAATATCACCACCTTTGAGAGACCTTCCCTGTCTGAAAAGTTTCTTATTATCCCCAAGTCCCTTTCTATCACATTACCCTGTATTACTTTCCTCATGGTACTGTGAACAATAATCAATATCAAGGTTGCAATGAACAAAGAGCTTTATTTGGGGGTCTTAGTAATTGCAATTTGGGAGATACAGACTTGAGTAAAACCGGAAGAGTGTTTCTGGAAAGAGAAAGAGACAGGGGCTTATAAAGGCAGAAACTACGAGGTGGTTAAAGTTGTCTGGCAAGAATTATGGTTGATTCTGATGCAGAAAAGAAGATACTTGTTCTTAATGGATAGGCTATCACAAGGGTCTAATAAGTATCTTGATTTTCATGAACATTGGGCAGATGTTCTGGATGCGCCTATTAAGATTCCACCTGAGCTGAGATGTGCATAAGTCACACTCCCTCAGTGGACTCCTGGCTCCATTTTAGAAAGCTCTTTTAGCAATACTGACTCCATTTTGATTTTCCTTTCACGGTACTTATGGCTATCTGAAATCATTTTGCTTCTTTTTAATAACTTATTATTTGTTCTCCCTCTAGGGTAGAAGCTTCTGTCTGTCACTGTTTTATCACAAGTCTCTATAGAACAATGTTTATAGAACAATGTTTGGCACATAACAGGCACCCAGGAGGTGTTGAATAAAGGAATGAATCTTTACTTGCACTGATAACGATTACTTAAAAGTGTTTACTTTGCATTTTTTTGGATTAAAAGAAAAGTTTGGCTTAGAAAAGTCTATATTTCTTCTTTGGTTCATTTTTCCATTTCTTCTGTAATTAAAAAAGTTATCTTTTGCCCATTTTTCAATTTTTAAAGGCAATTATACTTAAGATACTAACCCTTGTTTTTGAATGTCAGGTTTGTGGCAAATATTTTTTCCCATGTGTTTGCCTATTGATTTTGTCCCTGTTTTTTTGGACAGAAATTCAAACTTCAAGCAGTCAGATGGAGCAATATTTTCCGTAGTAGTTTAATCTCAAGCAGCATCAAGTCGCAGTCAAGTGGGGCGCTTAGAGGTTACTCTGAATCTGTGACTTTGGGCAAATAGGCCAATTACTTAGCTATCAAATCTCCAGTTAGTCATATTTTTCTCACTTGCGAAATGGGGATAATGGCACTAATCCGTTCGTTACAAACTTGTGAGGATTAAATGAAATTAAGAATATCAAATGACTCTGATAGTTGCACATTGAGAGCGCTCTAAATAAGAATGGTTAGTAGTTAGCATTTCACTACTTTCATGCTGAAGCTGGTTCTTTCCTGGTTCAGCTTGTGGTATAAATTTTCTCAAATATAACTTCTTTTATTTTCAGGAACTTATTTTGGTGCACCAAATAACTTATTTAAACGCCTTAAGTCAACTTGGAGTTTTCGGTAAGCAAGCGATCTACTACCCCTGAAGCATCAACCTACAGGAACAGATCAGTGTCTACGAGCTCTGGGCAGGCAGTGGCCGGGATGGGCGGAGCCGGCCTCAGCCCTGCCCCGCCCCTCCCCTCAGCCGGATCCGCCCCAGGTTTCCGTGAATCCCAGGCGACCGGGAGGTTCCGCGGTGTGTACCTGCCTGGTCTCTACCTTGGAGCGACTTCTACACCTTAGACGGAGAAGTGAGTGCGGACTTCTTTCTGTTTCGGGCCCGGAGTGGCGGGCCACCCGCAACCCACCGATCCACTGGGGCAGGAGAAGAGTCCGGGTCGGGAGAATCGGGCCCGCAGGCTCCGCGCGACTCGGCCCGCCCTGACCTCGCGCTGTAAGTGCATCCTGGGCTACGCGCGGCCAGGGATAGGCCGGGGCGCGCGGGGCCTCTGGATCCGCTGGACTCGAGGTCGGCGGCCTGCCGAGACCCAGGGTTGCCCCGCGCCTCCCGGTGTAGCCAGAGTTCCGGGCTCAGCTCCGGGCCGCGAGGCGCCTCTTGGACCTGGTGCTAGTGCACCTGGGCGGGCGGTGCCCGGGATCCTCCAGGCGGGGAGTCAGGCCTGCGGCCCAGGGAAGGGGGACACGCCCAGAAATTGCCGCAGCTCCTAGCCCGGAGAGGTACTGGGTCACGCGTCCCGCTCTGCCTTAGCGAATACCCAGAGGAATGGGGTGGGCCTCAGAGCAGGCGATGGTTCCAGGGGAAGCTGCTAGGTAGGTGGGGTGGGCAAAGGTGATTCTTGATTTTGGTGTAAAGCAGGAGGTTGCGAGATGGCGTATCCTAGCGGCTCCAGTTCAGGCTCCAGCTACGAATTTCTTCTGTTTGGGGCTCACCGCAACCAGGGGCGTGGAGGAAGTGCGGTTACATTAGTTTTGCAGTGCCAGAACCTCTGGGAGACCGAGCAAGCCTGCCACTGACGTTGTGCTTGATGATGATCCACAATTTTTTTTATCCTTGGTGTTATCTTTTCGTGGCTGCCTCTATAACTGATAATCAAATAGAAGGAAGGGTGGGATTGAACGCAGTGAGTATTGATTACAGTATCCCACAAGCACTGCCCGACAACTTTTATATATGTTAGCTCATTTAGTGCTCACAGCCGCCAACTTAAGTGGTATTGCTATTCCATTTCATACTCGAGGAAACTCAGATTGAATAATTTACCAAACTGCACAAATGGTAAGTGGTAGCATTAGAGTTGAAATTCACATCTGTATGATTTCTGAGCACAGGCTTTATGGCTTAATGTAAAGAACATTATTACTCTTTGGGATAAGATGGATACCTAGGTATGAGATCTATACGTTGAGATTTGTTAGCTGTATGACCTTGGGCAGGTTACTTAATCTTTTAGGGCCTGTTTCTGCATTTGTAAAATGGAGATAAAATACCTCCTCTGTCATAGGGTTGTTATAAAGATTAAATAAGATCATTTTTGGACTACACTTAGCAAAGTGTCAGGCACATAGTGGTAAGCTATATATAGCTAGATATATCCTGCTGTTGTCATTAATTGAGGACAGCAAACTCCAGCTCTGAGTGCTGCCAGCTAGAGCCAAACACAATTTGTGTGGGCCTAGAGCATAGGTAGAGGGAGGCAGAAAAGGATAAGAAAAGAATGGAGAACTGAGAACAGATGACATGTATGATGGCAATTATAGGCACATCAATAGATAAATCTATGGTACCCAGGGCCACCCTTTTGCCTTTGTGAGAATTTTTAAAAAGGCAGTTCCTTTTAGCTGATGAATTGGAGAAATGCATCCCACTCTGGGCTGAAAACATTCTGAAAGGTAGGTGTCTGGGACTGGACCATGCTGAGGCTCTCTGCCTCTGAGGGGGAGCCGCATTTCAGCACTGCACAGCATTCAGCACAGTGCCTGGCATAACCCCACAGTCAAGTGTGCAGTTCTCTTTCAGGATTTCTTCTCTCAGACTGAGCCCCTAAGAAAGGAGAAGGACAGGAGATTTCAGGACGGGGGAAACAAAATGGTTTTTTGCCTTTTAAGGGTTGCTTAATGACTGAACGCCTCTCCTAATTTTACCTATAGCTGTGAACACTTTATAGACAATGGTCTTCATTTCCACATAAATTTAAGGCAACCTAAGTATTATGTATTTTTATATACTCTTTACAGTGGTATCACTCTTGCCCTGAATATTTCCTTTGTAGCCTGGGTTCAGATACCCAATTCATACTGTACCCTAACTCCTGTCAGTTTTTGGTATAGCTTTAGACATAGTGTTCCTTGCCCTCTTTCTTTCTTGGTGATTGCTGTGCTTTTTTCTTACTATTAGAGTTTTCTTTTCTCTTTCTTTTTCAAAACTTTCTTTAGCCAGTGATGTATTATGCTAGAAAGTATGCCTGTCAGCAAAACCAAGAGAGTTAGTGTAGGATGTGAAATATGATTAAATAACATTTGACCTTCAAGGATTTGTGACTGGCCACCACTGCTCATCAAAAGCATGATCTTTTAGGTGGATCTTTTAGCAAGGATAAATACTACTTTCATTGGTGGCACTCAAGAAGTTTGAAGAGTCCAAACTTGGCCATTCCTTTAATGTACCCATTATTACCTACAGGCCAGCTTCCTTCCCACCAATATTTTCCCTTTATGTTCTTACTTACCTTATAAGGATTGCTAATCGGGTTAAAGTCCAAACAATTAGGTAGAATACTTGGTAGAAGATTTGTTAAAAGACTGGCTAGAAGGAGGTTTAAATTAGTACCTAAAAGTAAAGTATCATAGATTTTATTTGACTACATTATTTAAGTTTCTAATATGATGATCGAAGGCAGACATTATGTATATGTTTTATTTATTTATTCAATTGAAGTATTACAATATGATGAAGTGCTACTAAATTGAAGTACTACAATACTATGTTAGTTCTAGGTGCAACAGTGATTTGATATTTTTATACTTTACAGAATGATCACCACTCTACTTTTTGATAAGATTATGATAACTACATTTAAGCCAGTTATGCTGGTTTAAATATATTTGAGGAAGCTGTGGGGGCAGGGTATTGGGATTCTTTTGGAAAGACTTTATTCTTTTAATATATAACAGCTTATGAGTATGCAATCATAATTTTTAAAAAGACATTAAAGTAGTCAATGTAATAGTCAAATTTACCAATATAAATTAGATGGATAGCATACTAATGCTGTTTCTCCATGAAAAATGTGACATACTGCCTATTAATCTTGGCAAATAATTTTGAAATATCCTCTTACCAAGTGGATGTATTATGTCTGGTTCCTGTGAAAATTACCAAAGCAGCAGTGTGGTTGCAATATGCATTGTCATCAGGCTACTTGAATACTCTGAGCATTTAGTTTACCATGCCTCTAGACCCTAAGGTGATAGTAGATGTTAAAATAGATATCTGCAACTGTAAGGAGAAATTTGTCTGCTCCCTCTCCCCCCTTTCTTGGTATTTGGCTTACTTTATAAAAATACACAACTTAAATACATATGACACTCTCTATATTAGACAAACAACTGTTAGATTTAATATTTTCAGTTATTTCAACTGAAAGCAAATATGTAAATTACATCTTAAGGGCAAAGGGTTTCTTTAGAGATTCTGCGTTCCTGGTCCACAGGAAGAACACCCCTTGAGCGATCCATCCAGGAAGCTCACCCAAACCTCCAACTTTCCAACAGGTCATTTCACCATCAGGGCCTTTATCACATGGCTTCATAATGCACTGCTTGTTAGACACAATCTAACTTATCCACACCCCAAGTTTAAGCTTTTGTCTTCTCTAGAAACACTTAGTGGAAAAACCAATGTACAATCTGCTTACGGGTCAGAATTTTTTAAAAAGAAGGGAAAATTTTAAAAACTAGTTTTCAATGGTATTGTCAAAATAAGTCGATAAAATACTAAAATGACACTCCACCTTCAATACTTCTTGCTTCCCTTCTGTGCTTTGTTTTTCTCTTTAGCCCTTACCATCACCTATCATACTATATATCTCCCTACAGTGTAACCACATGAGGGCAGGGATATTTGTCTGTTTTGTTCATTGCTGACTCCTAATCCCTTAGAACAGTGTCTGACACACAGGCATTCTGTAAGTATTTATTGAATGAGTGTTGAGTGAATGAATAGTACTATTAAACTGTTCATGATTGGGAAATATAAAGCGATTTGCCAGAAAGTTAAAAACAGCTGGAATGTGTATGCTAAGCAACCATAAAATGAATATTCTTGAAATCAGGAAGTGTATAAACATCTCAACAGTTCTTTCTCAACATACAAACTTTTAAACCCTGAGGACAAATCAAGCTTTTAAACTCTGTAATTGTTGCAGTTTTAAGTGGAAAGAATTTTCATGTCATTGTTCACCATGAACTAGAGAGGAGCATGTAGTATTAAAATGTGAAATGCCTGTCTTGCCCAATGAGATAGTACATGTGCCCAGCTGAGAAGAGGAGGGAGCCAAGTTTTAGAAAGCATTCTTTCAGAGTTGGGCATAGTTGGATAATAAGGGTAGGTGAGACGTTCTGATTTCTGGTCCAACATCTGGGAGATTGCAGAAGGTGGGAAGTTCTTAAAATGCCCTGAGGGGAATGAGAACCCCAAGGGAATTCAATCTGAGCAGGTTGCTGTGCCTTAATATAATGTCTAACTGCCTGCTGCACAGCTGGCCAGCAGATTTACTGAGTCTTTATTGTAACTTAACAAAATTTTCAATTGAGCATCCTGGAATTTACTCCTAGGGGATGCAGCTCTGATTTTTATCAAGGCAGTTTTTGGTAAAAGATGATTCACTTAAGTAGGTGAGGTATGTACTGTGTAGCTAACTTTGCCAAGATGCATGTTTCGTAAGGTGAGGCAATACTGAGATGTTGTCACTTTTTTTGCACAGGCTCCAGATACGCAGGCTCAGCGGCCACGGCCCATGGGCCCAGCCGCTCCGCGGCATGTGGGATCCCCCCGGACCGGGGCACGAACCCATGTCCCTGGCAGGCGGACTCTCAACCACTGCGCCAGCAGGGAAGCCCACTGCTTCTAACTTTTATTAACACATCACTCAGTGCACCTATGATGAACTGTTCATTTGATACACTTGAAAATATAATCAGTTACATTTCTAAAATGTATATACAGCAGCCAAGGGATTAGTAAAGCAGTATAACCTGAAACACATGTTAAGTAAATTCTGTAGCCTGCTAT